TGAGTTTCCCACTGTTTAAAAAGAGGAAAAAAGGCTTTTAACCTTAAATGCACCCATCACCATTAGCATCTTAAAATAATATACCAACCGCCAAAACTAAAGAAAATGAAATACCTGGGCTTTCATACCTAAGGATTGCCACCCCAGACAATCAGATTATTTATGAAGTTTCCATTCCAAAAATGTAGCCCATGGGGTGGGGCACCTGTGGATCAGTGGGTAGGGCACTGGCCACATATACCGAGGGTGGCAGGTTCGAACCCAGCCCCGGCCAAACTGCAACAAAAAAATAGCCAGGCGTTGTGCTGGGTGCCTGTAGTCCCAGCTACTTGGGAGGCTGAGGCAAGAGAATCGCCTAAGCCCAAGAGTTGGAGGTTGTGTGACGCCATGGCACTCTACCCAGGGCAACTCTGTCTCTCAAAAAAAAAAAAAAGGTAGCCCTTCCCTGGGATCCTCACATACATGGAAATTCTAAAGCAGTCTCTGAAGCAGCTGTGTTGCACTCTCAAGCTTGGAAGTAGGTAGGCCCTATTAACCTCTCTTCTGCCAGATAGTAATAATTGCTCAGCTTCTGACGCTCCGAAGGGTTAAATTTGTGGGATATTGCACTTCAGCCTGATGCTTGCAGTGGGTTAAGAAACAGAAGCTATTACAGTGAATATATCCGTCTTAAGTTAATTTTTCCTTAATTAACATCCTAGTATTAGATTTACAATGCCTTTCTCTGAGTGATGCACACAGGAAGTGCTTAAAATGTCTTTGCTGTAGGGCGGTGCCTGTGGCTCAAAGGAGTAGGGCGCCAGCCCCATATACCAGAGGTGGCAGGTTCAAACCCGGCCCCAGCCAAAAACTGGGGGGAAAAAAAAAAGTCTTTGCTGTAATGCAGTGAAAGCTATGGGGAGAGGGGGTGCTGAAAAGCCCCACTTGCAGTTGAGTCCCCCAAATCTGTTTATGTACATGTATTATCCAGCATCCCCTGCAGACTATTCTAGCTCATACCTGCTGCCCCTGGTCTGGATCCCTCTCTCAAGCTTCATTTTCCATGTCTCTAAGGAAAGAGGATAGATCTGAATAATTCAATTGCTGGAGGTGTCTAGAATCCTCTTGGGGGGGGGGAATAGCTCTGATCCAAGCTCTCATATGCCTCAAAGGCTGCCTCTACCTTATTTCCTGTCAAAGAAAGAGAAAGCCCCTTCCCCATACCCAGGCTTCAAGACCTTTCCAGAATCTGGACAGCACCCTGACTGCAAAGCTTCTCCCATCTATGAATGCCCAAGCCTATCTAGCACATAGTAGTCCTCAGTAAATGTTTACAGTGGGCAAGGGCTGGAGGACTCCTTAGAAACCATCTACAATCTGGTGTTCCTCAACCATTTCTTAAAACTCACATACCCTTTAAATAAATACAAAAATTTCTGCTTCCCCCACTCAATTTCCTAACTTGCCCAAGAAGTACATCCCTCTATCTCTGGTTGAGGAGCATAAACAAAAAATAGAATACATATTTGTTGATACCTCCTCCAGTGAGACACCATGTAATTTGAATTACAAAGTCATTTTGTCATTTTCAATTTATAAAATTATACCATTACAGTGAAATACTAAACTATCCTTGTCCTCCACCTGAGTTTCACAATACAGTGAACTTCTTCCTGTTCCCCTCCCAGCCAAGAGTCATAGATCAGGGCCATCAGTCCATTTGACCATGGAGTCCTGAGAAGGGAGTCACCTGGCCTGCATCACACAGCAAAGAGAAGTAGATCATAGACTTGGAATTGGGTCTCTTAGTTTCCAATATTGTTACTGCCCAGATTTGAGGCAGAATTTATCCAGTCATCCAGTCACCTAACCAAACATGACCCATCTGAGTCTCCTGGATCTGGAATGAGTGGCCCATTCTGAGCTCTGCCCTCTCTAGTTTAGGCCTGGCTGCCTTGATCAGGAGTCTCTCTGGTGGCTGCAGCCATGGCCAGGGCAACAGAGCCCCACCCTTGGCTCCAGGCCTCAGTGCTCACTGCTGCTTAGGTGGCTAGGGTAAGGGACGGATCACAATGACCCTGGAGAGGCCCCTAGAAGCAGCAGGGAGGGGCTGGCAAAGGGATCAGTCAAGGAAGATGGGCTCTCCCAAGCACTAGCCCGCCTGGTAGGGGGCTCTGAACTCATGAGACATTCTGTGGCCCTACCCAGAAGATCCACCAGGGTGAGTGTGACACTACCCAGGGACCAGCTCAAAGCTGACAGCAACTGGGAGTCTGGTGTGGAAAGAAAGTGGGCTCAGATACCCCCAGTGTCAGAACTGGGGGGTAGGACTAGGCCTCTACCTTCCAAAGGAGAAGTGTGTTAAAAATCTGTGTCTTGGCTCGGCGCCTATAGCTCAACCGGCTAAGACGCCAGCCACGTACACCTAAGGTGGCGGGTTCAAATCCCCAGCCTGGACCCGCCAAACAACAATGACGGCTGCAACCAAAAAATAGCCGGGCGTTGTGGCGGGCACCTGTGGTCCCAGCTACTTGGGAGGCAGAGGCAGGAGACTCACTTGAGCCCAGGAGTTGGAGGTTGCTATGAGCTGTAATGCCATGGCACTCTACTCAGGGGGACAGCTTGAGGCTCTGTCTCAAAAAAAAAAAAAAAAAAAAATCTGTGTCTTGGGGTGGTGCCTGTGGCTCAAAGGAGTAAGGTGCTGGCCCCATATGCCGGAGGTGGTGGGTTCAAACCCAGCCCTGGCCAAAAACCGCAAAAATTAAAAAAAAAAAGTCAACAGATTAAACAAAAAACTAAAAAAAAAAAAAAAAATCTGTGTCTTGGCCCCATTCCAAACTTGCTGAATCAGCATCTGGGGTGGGAGGTGGGGGGAAGTCATTTTCAACAAGCTCCCCACGCAAGGGGCTCTGAGGCATCACCAGGACTGGGAGACTGCTGCTCAGGTCTGTTTTCCTCTAAGTTCCTAGTAGAGCACTAACATCTGGACGTATAAGCCTGGGCTAAGTGCTCAACCAGCGGGAAGCCATTTCACTCTAAGGAAGAGGCAGGCACCGGCAGTACCGCATTCTACAGACCAGAACGCTGAGACAAGACAGAGAAGTTAATTGGCTTGCCCAGGGTTATAGAGCTGGTAAGTAGTGAAGCCAAGACTAATCCTAAATAATAATTTTAAAATAATAAGAATGGCAGCTAGTCTTTAAGCACGTACAGCGTGCCTGGCACTGTTCTAAGAGACAGACACGTATTCACTCATTTAAACGTCACAGCAACACAAAAAGGTGGGTGCTCCTGCCGTCACTATTTTCCAGGTGAGGAAATAGAGGCTCAGGGAGCTCCAGCCTGAGCCCCTCACTGTCTGCCGGCCGGTAGCGTGAGTCCCTGGGTATCACTCTGTCCCACTCTGGGCACTATGGCCCGGAGCAGGTCTTTGCCCCCCACTTCACACGGCGCCCCCCGCCCCCGCTGGCGTGAGGATGCCCTAAGCTGAACGCGGGGTTGAGCATGTTCCGGCGTCAGCGCAACGGGGGGGCCCAGGGGGCGCGCAAGCGGTACCCCGTTGGTGGCGACTTGCGACAGAGAGACCCGCGGCTGCCCAGGCTGACCCCATCCGAGCTCCGAGGGGCCCGATACGCGTGGGATGTAGCGGGCTACAGGATCCGGGAGGGTGGCTCCGCGTGGTGGCAGGACTGGGATGCTGAGTCCCAGGAGGACGTCAGGATCCCCACGCCGCGCCGGCCCCTCCGGTCCCCAGTCCCCCCACAGGCGCAGAAGAAGCGCGGCGTGCTGGAGTCCCTGCTGCTGCCACCCCTGCTGTCCTCCAGAGCGTCCCGGGGATCGGCGCAGGGGTGTCCTGGCCCTGGACAGTGCCAGTACACTCGCAGGCGCGCGGCCAGGGAGGGCCCCGGCTCCCTTGGCTCCCTCTTAGGAGAGTTCCTCCCTAGCAGGTTCCGCGAGTTTCTGAGACAGCTCCAGCAGAAGTGTGAGGAGCCCCTGGAGCCACAGAGTGAGGCCAAGCCCCCGGGCCCGAGGGGGCGGGGCGGGGCGGGGCTGAGCTAGTTCCTGGGGAGGGGTGCCCAGTGTTCAGAAGGATGCTAATGTCAGCTGAGTACCTCTCACACAGTCCTCACAATCCCTCCTTGAGGGGTGGTTCTCCATCGCCCCCAAGGCCCTATAATAGGAAGATCATAATAAGGACTGTCCGGCAGAAAAGGCTCACAACCATTTCCACCTCCCTCTGGCTCCAGCATCCCCAGTACCGCGACATCAAAGGGGTGTGTCAGAGCACTGCCAAAGGTCTCATCAGTGTCCCAACCGCTCTTTCCTCCCAGACCTGTGGTAAGTGTCAGTCTCCTTCTTGGTCAAGACAGGGTTGCCATCAGTGCTTCCAGGATGAGGGACTCCAGCCACCCATGGCAAGTGTGGCCCGGTTGTCTTTAAGGGCCCAGTCAGCCTACTTTGAGGATAATCTTAAAAACATTTTGCTCCATCAGATTCTACCCTGGGGCCTCTAAAGGGTGATCACTCACAACTCACCACAGTCAACCAATGAGTGATGGGAGGGGATGCGTGATGAGTGGGGTGGGGAGAAAGTGCATTTCTTTCCTTCCTTTCTTTCCTCTTCCACCTATGTATTTATCCCTTTATCCATCCATCCATCTTCAGTCCACCCATTCATGTGTCCATCCATGCATTCGATCTTCTGCTGAAGCAAGCATTCATAATCCATCTGTGAAGCCACTCATCTATTCGTGCATAGGTCTATCCAAGAATTAAGTCTTCTACCAACCCATTCCAAATTCATTCACCAATTCATCTATGAATCCATCCATCCATTAATCAGGTCTTCTGCAACACATTCATAATTCATTGTGAATCTATTCATGTGTCTATTCTTCCATTCACCTATCCACCCTTGCAAACATCTAGTCCATGGCCTGATCTTCTAGACTGTTCATGAATCTGTCCATTCCTCCATCTATCACAAACCCATGACTCCATCTGCCTACCCACTGATGAATCACATCTTCTGTCAGTCCATTAATCCACCCATGCAGCCAGTTGGTTGGTCATTCATTTGTTCACAAACTCCCGCTCTTCTGTCCATCCATCTGTGCATCTAATGGTTAACTATCTTCAAATCTTTCCATCTACTTATAAATCCAGGATACTTTCATCCTTAATCTAGTCACAATCCACCCACAAATCTACATACTAATCTAGCCATCCATCCATCCATCCGCCCGCCATCCACCCATGATTTAATCTTATCCAGACCCTTTCTCAGTTCGCCTGTTAGTTCATCCATCAGCCCACCCACCCAGTCTTCCATCCTTATATCCATCCCACCAGCAATTTGTCTATTTCTTTCTCTAACTTTTATTAGGTTTTACTATATGTCAAACAATGAAGGAAGTAAAATAAGGGATAGAGGTAAGAGAAGAACTGGGGCATGAGAGCTTACTGGGGCCTAGATGCCATAGTTCTAACAGAAAAGAAAGCAGGAAAAAAAATCTCTCTGGGTTAAACAGGTTTAAGCAGGGGTAAAGGGTGAAGAGCACTGCCCATGAGTTTAAAGACCAGGGAGACTAAGCATATGGCATATATGTCATTCCTCCTTATACTGTGCCCATGCCAGACAATACTAATGGATTATAGCACATTTCCCCACTGAGCCTCAGAACCCTTCTTGACACAAAACTCCAGGCAGACATCACTGATGATTCAGAGTAGAAGCTGAAAATGTAAAATATTTACCAACCCAGAAACTTTAAACCAATCAGGCTAAGTAAGCACACTACTGCTCACAAGATATAATTAAAAGTATGGAATTCATTCTCTTAAATGTGAGCAAAAGTAGAGATAGACACATTCACCGACTTGATCTTGCAGATTCAAGAGCAAGTGCTTAAACACCTTACTGTGTGTGAGGTTCCCTGGTAGTCCTACAGGGGACACCAGGGTGCATTAAAACAGGCCCCAGCAATCCTGAAGGGGAGAAGCCAAGACTTCAGATGGGCAGGCAGAACAAGAGCAGGCTCCATCAGATACCAAGTAGCTTGTGGCTAGGCGCTGCTGTGGACATCTCACAGCTGGTTGGCTCTTGGGTGGGCTGATGGAAAGCATCCCTCTGCCAATACCAGATAAATGGTCAGACCAATAGATGTACATATATACATGTGTGTATACTTAAGATAAAATGGTATTTCTGAATAACAGAACCATCAGTGGATCAAGGAGGCCCTCCTGTAGCCTTGACCTTGAGGCTGAAATTAATAACAATAAATGGAACAATTTTATCTGTTCCATATAAATATAAAAAATAACCCTTTACTGAACACAAGCCTTGTGCCAGGCTCATATAAGTCACTTGATACTCACCAAACTCATATGAGAATGGTGTTATTGTGCCTATGATAAATCATTTAAAGGAGAAAACTGCAAAATGGAGACTTGGGGGCAATCTGCCAAAGGTCACGCGGTTGGCATGGGACATAATGGAGACAGCTCCATTATGAGCTATTAGAGATATTTACTTCTGGCCCTGTAGATGCTGGACTGGACACTTTTGCACTCCATGTCTTCACAACCCTGTACAGTAGGCACCATAGTCATCCCCCAATTACAGAGAAGAAAACTGAGGCTTGGAGAGTCAGGAAAATCCCAAGACTGCATGACTCCTGAGTTGGCTTGCATCTTCTCTGTGCTAACTTGCTTGAGATGTAAAACTGCTTGTTCTGGAGCCAGAATGTAAATCTTGGCTCCACGCTTTACAACTGTGTGACCTTGGGCAAGTTGCAAAAGTCTCTGGGCCTCAATTTCCTCAACTATAAAATGGGGATGATGATAGTTGTTCATGGGGGTGACTGGGGTTTGGTGGGATGGTGCATATTACCTGTGTGATCTGTTACCAGGCAGAAGTGAAGTGCTCAGTAAAGGCTGGCTGCCGTGGTGGGCATTATGCCGTGGCCTCAGCTTACACACCAGCGGAGGTCACTTGTCCAGGATCACACAGCGAGTCTGGATCTAGTGGATGTGGTGTCGGGGTCAAGGTGGGGGCTTTGGGCTCAGGCCCTGTCTGCTCCTGCCCCTCTCACCTCTCTCAGCAGCCCCTACAGTGCACAAATCCCCAAGCCCAAGGCTGTGGTCACTCGAAACCTCTCAGGGGAGGCCTCCAGGGCCCGCAGGAGGTGTTCCCCTCTCCGGGTTCGGTTTGCTGATGAGACCGTTCGGGACACCGCACTCCGATACTGGGAGCGCAGCTGTGCAGGTAGGCAGACAGGATAGGGATTCTCAGCACTCCAGAAAGTTCCAGCCTAGACTTGGGAGGGCAGAGACCATGGCCCAGGCCTGTAAAGGCCAAGAGATCACTGACCCTGAAGAAGAAATACCTCAACTGGCCTCACTAGAGGATGTCACAGTGACCGTCAAGGACCAAGAAGAGCAGCGGTTCTCAACCTGTGGGTTGTGAACCACAGGGACTGTATTAAAGGGTTGTGGCATTAGGAAGGTTGAGAACCACTGAGGGTCTGAGGTCCAGCAGAGCTGTCCCAAGGTGGGTGGCACTAGGGAATGGCTAAAATGGTGGCCCAGGAAACAATGGTCATCTAGGTCTGGCCACCACCAAAGGACTTCTTGTTGCCAAGAGGTCCCACACACTGTATCTGCCCATCTGGGAAGCAGCACCCACAGCTTCACAGTCCACATTTGTGCTCCCCCCCCACACACACAGCATAGAGGGGCTCCTTCTCCAGGAGATCCAGAAGCCGCTGGAAGCATCTTCCCCCCCATATCCATGAAGGCAAACCTCAGAAGCCTGGCTAAAGGAAGGTCAAAAAGAAGAAAACTTTCTTCTGGGGACAGCAGCCACTGCCTAGTCCCACAAAGAAGCTAAGAACCACCAAGCCCTGACATAGTGGCTTCTGTTCTGCACACTTTCCAGAGAGCTTTCCAAAGTGGGTGTTGGAAGGCAGCTGAGCAGCGCCTGCCCTTGCTCTGGTGTACCCTCCCCAAGCTCCCCCTTTCTCCATGTGCCCCACTGCTTCTCTTCTCAGGATCCAGGAGCCCCCAAAGCTTCCAGCAGTCAACATTCTGCTGCTATGTATTGAGCACTTAGTATGTAGTTTCTTTTTTTTTTTTTT